AAGAGGTGGGGGGGGGGGGAGTTCTAATGAACTTCAGATCAAAAGGGAAAAAAACCCCAGAAGTGGCAACAGCAGCAACAAAAAAGAGCAAAACAAAATTAATTCCCTTCCCGCAGGCCAAGTAAGATTAGTTTTAAAAATTAATGCAAACAAGTAACACAGCAAGTGCCTCTATTAAATTATGAGGCCACGCCATGTACACACGGCCGTTGTTTCCACCGCTGAATCCGTTATCTGAAAAGGTGCTCACTGTTTACCACGGTGTGAAAAGCTGTTTTCCTCTAGACAGGCCCGTTTCATTAAGGAATTGGATACTTGCCATGGACTTATTTTTCTTAGCATTGAAGCGAGGCCCAGTATCAAAGAGAGACAGGAAACATGGCCATGGCTGAGCGGGAGGAGGGAAACTTTACACAGACTTGCTTTCTGTGTTGTATCCAAAATGGCCTTAGCATGGGGGGGGGGAGGAGAACAAAGCAGCCACAGGTGAGCCTTCTCCCCTGCCCCCCCGGTACCCACAGCAAGGCCCGCGCCCCTCCAAGCCTTCTCCCTCCTCCCCCCTCTCCCCCGCACTGGCGGCGAGGCCTGAATTTGGCCCACCAAGCTTTCTCCCTCCCCCCTTCCCTAGTGGCAGCGGTGAAGCCTGGCCGGCCCGCTGAACTTTCTCCCTTCCCCCCCCCCGTGGTGGCAGCAAGGTCTGGCTGGCCTGCCAAGCTGTCTCCCACTCCCCCTTCTCCCCAGCAACAGCGGCAGCGAGGCGTGAGCTCGGCCCACCAAACTTTCTCCCCCGCCCGGTGGTGGCGATGGCTGAGCAGCTTACAACCGCCGGATGGCCAAGCCTTCTCCCACCCCCTCTCCCTCCCTGGCAGTGGCGTCTGTACTTTTGGGGGGATTTAAATATCCCCCGCATATTTTTCCAAGTTTTCAGATTTTTCTGCACATCTGAGTATTGCCCCAAATGTAGGGCTGCCAAATCCCCCCGGGGGCGGAAATCCCCCCGCCCCAGAGGCCCGTTCCCTGACGCCGGGGAATCGGGCCCTGGGGGGAACCCTGCCCCAGCGTGCACATCACAGGGAAGTGATGTCATGACACCGGGCACGCTGGGGGAGGGGCCATGGCCATACAAGGGAAAACCCTATGGAGTCCCCCGCCGGAAGGGTAAGTGCCAGTTGGCAACCCTACCCAAATGTGCAGGAAAATCTCCCTGCCCCCCAAGTGCCCCCGATGTGCGGATTTAGATATCTGCACAGAGGGGGCATGTTGAGAATTAGATATATAGAAATATATAACCTGGATTAAAAATAATGTTTTGACCTTTGTAGTGTAGAAGGTGCCACATAAGCCTGAAGGCATAGGGCATTTTAAAGATGGGGTGCTATTACTGAAAATGCCCTATTTAACCACCTGCTTCATCTCTAAAGGCAGGGGCACAGAGACCAGGGCTTGCGAAGCACCTCTTAACTGGTAGGCTGGAGAGTACAGGACAGGATACTTGTTCAGGTACCCTGTTTCTAAGCCATTTATGGCCTTAATGGGGAAGAAGAAGAAGAAGTAGAGGAGGAGGAGGAGATTGGATTTATACCCCACCCCTCACTCGAAGTCTTAGAGCAGCTTACAAACTCCTTTCCCTTCTCCTCCCCACAACAGACATCCTGTGAGGTAGGTGGGGCTGAGAGAGCTATGAGAGAAACTGCTTTTTTCAAGAACAGCTCTGATAGAACTATGCTCTTTGAATTGTTCTTGGAAACAGATGGGTACCCAGTACAGACCTTTCAGCACAGCGCCAACCAGGGCTGGATTTAGATGAAGAGAGGTCCTAGGCTACTCCACTTGTGAGGCCCCTCCCAATCCCCCACCCTCACGACTAGAAGAAAATGGAGGAGTGTTATAAACAAAATTGAGTGAAGCCAAGGATGATGACAGGTATTTAAAATTCTGCAATTCACAATTTCTCCTCTAAAGGACATAAGATGTTATTGTTAAATACCATAGTGATTGACAAAAAATGCATAAATGTTAAAATTAACACTGAAAAACTTTTGCAATAATTGAACTTTGTAAACCTTTTGTGGAATAAGCATTAATTTTTAGGAAAATGAAGTTGTAATGTTATTCTTTAAAAAAAAACACACCCTGAGTTTACAAATTATATTGCCTGGGAAGTGTAATAATATGATCATGATTACCTGACAGTGTGGCACTTTTAGAATC